ATAAGACCGATGCGAGGTCGAAACTGCAGTCCCCTGGTGCCTGGATGAGAACAACTTTTGGGAAAGCAAGACTATGTGAAATTGAATGAAAACGTCAGCCCTACTTATATCATTGTGGGAAAATTCTACTACCAGTTCTTCATCACCTTAAACGAAATTAGGTGAATAAATCACATACAGATTTGTCTATTGGACAGATTGCCCTAACAACAGGTTTTTTTCAAGAGGGCTTCTAGCTCATCCATCCTCTCACCCTTTTTCTTCTTCCCTCTTCGACAGAGCCCACCGCTGCAGCTAGACTTTTCACATTCCCTTTCGAGCCGGTCAAATGATGCGTCGTCATGCGATCTCGTCTCCCTGGCCTGCCCTGTCGGTGTGCAGCCCATGATGCGCATGTTGCTCTCCTCGAATCCCTCCCATTCACCGCTTGACGTGGCTTCGTCCTGCTGTAGCACAGGATTCGGGTCCACCGGTGCCAGTGCTACTTCGGCCGCCAGCGACACCGGCCTCACAGGCCCCACCTGTACTCCGCCCTGTTCCTCGGTTGCCAACTCGTCCACCACCACCACTGCCGTCTCTACCATGAGCGGCGTTCTTCCTGGCACGACGGTTGAGTCGTCCGGCGCCAATGGCTACGGACTCGGCCCGACCGGGCAGACGAGCCACGATTTCGGGTTGGCCTCCAACACCAATTTGACGGCTCTCATCTCCGAGGCACCCTCGGGCGTGACTGGTTTTGCCGCAGCTGCGGCGGCAGCGGCTGTTGCTGCGGCTGTAGCCACCTCCGGCAACGTCGACACCAGAACCTCTTCCAATGGAGTCAGCAGGAGCCGATCTTCCGGCACCGCCAGTAGCACTGCCAACACCGGACAACAGGGTCCGACTATTTCGCGTTCAGTTCAACAAGGACCACCCAAACATTCCTTTCATGATTTGGGCCAGCCCAACGGCTACCAATTAGCCTCAGGTCAACAACAACAACAACAACAACAACAACAAGCTTCGCATCAATCGCATCATCTTCTCTCGCATCACGGCCACCATCAGCAGAGTCAGAACTACAACCAGAATCACAGTCATCGCCACAGCCACGGCCACAATCATGCGTACCATCGACTCACCTCGCCGGCCGCTTCACTTCTGGCTTCAATGCGGGTAAAAGAAGAATCGTTCACCAACGCAAAGCAACGATCAAAAAAGGAGAGCCATAATAGAAGTGAGTCTCCAAATCTTATCCATTTTCGCAACTTTAATATGAGATGTATTCACCCAATTTCGTTTAAGGTGATGAAGGACTGGTGGAAGAAATTTCCCACAATGATATGAGTCTTAGATACTGAGAATAGCTCGGTTTTGATAAATCCCTTGAGACAACATTGTTGGGGGGACTTTCATTTCGTATGAAAGTGCATGAAAAAGAGATTCTAACGTCTGATAGACATCATCAGGGCTGGAACTCATTCCCGTAGAAGTCTAGCGTTAACACTAAGTCAAGAAGAGTGAAAGCTAAGCCCCTTTTCACTCAAAACGAGGGAGGAGGTGTCATGGACTGCGTCAAACTGAACGTCGTATAAAAGCCAAACGACTTTAGTAAAACGGGAATCAGCAGTTGTCTTCTGGTGGGATCGACCTTCTAATCTCTTGTTAATGTACTTTCATATGAAATGAAAGTCTCCCCAACAATGCTTTTACCTTGACAAGGCACAGTATCTGACGTGACGACAATAGATTCCCCAGACCACATCGATGGAACAAGCTTCGATAAAAAGAATCATCTTTTCATTCAAAGATATGTCCTTAGTGCTTTTAGCTTACACGAATAGCATGAATTTCAAGATAAAATAAACCTCTTTCTATCCATTTCCTTTTTCGGAGAAATTTTATATTGTTAGGCAACACTCTATTTGTCGATAAACTCTATAAACTACTGATTAGTACCGTCGGTAACTCTATTTGATACGGAGATAGGAGAGGGCTAAATGTTGCCGAGCCATTAGCCTTCTGGGTGCTTCGAAAAGAAAACTCTCGCTAACATTGTAAAATAGAATGGCTGCACAACAAATTTATAAGTTTGAATGAGCTTTTGGTCGGTTATAGAAAGAATTTACTTCTTCTATTGGCATATAAATGGCATATAAATGACACATATAAATGCTTCTCTAGTGAATTGAAATATTTAGATGCTATATGAAGAGCAGGTGGGTTTTAAAGAATCCTCCAATAGATTGATGTTGGTGTACTTTTCATTTGGTTTCATAAAACGGGTGGAATCGATTTATACATTGGCGTCACTGGATACCAAAGGAGGGTTGCCTCGGACTTTTGTTTGTTTAATTGTGCGAAAAAGACCTCGGCTCACCGTCCAACTACCCCGATATTTTCTGGCTCTGATATTGCCCGCCACATGACGGACGAAATCCCATCATGGAGTTGTCGGGGTCGCAGGACGGTGAGCCGAGATCTTTTTCGCACAATTTAGCAGACAAAACCCCAAGGCAACCCCATTCGATATCCAGTGAAACCAATCTTCGAATCCCTCTCACCCACCTTCTCAAACAAGATTTTACAACTACTACTTTCATACTACTTGAGATACTTCCAACTATTAGCTTTACATGAACGATCATGTGATGCTCACTGCTACCTGGCATTTGAGTTTAGTCAATACGGATTGAAGAAAAGGCTTTATGTGATATTGAAATCCTCTGGCCATGCATATAATTCGGCGGGAAGGGGGAACTGATGAATCCTAGGGAAGGTTGAAACTCCAGTCTGACTTGAATATGAACGGCCTCTCGAGATGTATAGCACTATGTAAAACTGGTGCCCACTTACAAGAGGGCAAACCATTTCTTAATTTATATATGAAATGCATTCACACTGTTTCTTTTAATGGCATAGTAATAGGCGGAGGTTGAAATTTCTTCACAACCATATAAGTAGGCCTTATGTCTTCATTGTATTTCATATTGCCTAGCATTTTAAAAGGCATTTGTATCCAGGACCTCGATTAGGCCTCATCAGCTCCCTCAATGGGACTCGAACCGTGGTATGGTAGTATATAATCCTGACACATTAACCATTACGTCACATTGTCACGAGCGCCCTATGATGACAGGGCAGGGGAGAATTTCAAGCGAGGTCTAACGTTTTCCCCTATCTCATTCTGTGGTGGTGTTGTCGGTGAAGCAAAGTTTTATGTCTTATGATTTAGCTAAATCTATTTTCGAATGTATGCAGAATTTCGAAACTACCAGTAAATCAGTTATATGATATGTATTCACCCTATTTCGTGCCAGGTCATACCAGGTATATGGTACTGATAGAATTTTCCTACAATGATATGAATAGACGTTTCGATTGAATTTCACATAGCCTTACTTTCTCATAAGTTGTTCTCATCAAGGGTGGACCGCAGTTTCGACCTCGCATCGGTCTTATCAACACCCCCAGCGGGAGTCGAACCGTGACAGTTCAGCATGTGAGCTTGACACGTTAATGACTCAGCCACATTGCCACGAGCGCCCTTGGATCACAGGGCAGATGTGAACCTTCAAGGAAGGCTAGGCCTTATCCTATAGCACATAATGTGTACATAAAACCTATGCGAAATCTAAACTACAGTCCACTGGTGCCTGGATGAAAACAACTTTTGGGAAATCAAGGCTATATGAAATCTAATGGAAACGTCAACTCTACTCATATAATTGTGGGAAAATTCAACTACCAGTCTTTCATCGCCTTAAACGAAATAGGGCGAATACATCTTATTCAAATTTAGACTAAGCTGTGCTGTCGATGACAAGATATATGGTACAAGGGCCATTGATGCCGACATACTGATGAGTGGCGTTATTTTAATAACCTTTATTATTAATTGTCCAATTTTAAAAAACAAAACGACAAATTAAGTGTTGGTTTTACACGGTTTTCGCAACTTGGTCGGAAGGACACAGAGAACTTGCGTCCCCTGCCAATGTTTTCATGATACTATCCAGCATCGCAGCGTTGGTATTGCACATTCCCAGAAGTTACCCCAACATCATAGCCGGTATCGTCAGTGTGAGACGCCATCCTTAGCGCAACGTTACCTCTTATCACTTGACAGGTGAACGCATTGACTCTTGACCAATGCTCTGTTCTCTCTTCAAATATTTTTTCGTCCTAGCCCAAATGCTGAATTCTTTTCTCTCAGCCTCACTTCATATCGCTCATTTGCCTATTCACACGATTTTGTGTTCCCGTTTTCTCTAATGTCGATTCAAGTTGATTTATTGTATTATAGTCACCTTCACCGCTGGTTTCAGATGTCATTCGTATGACCTTTTATTTTCATTCGGCCCCCTCCGTTCCGTTTGTCAGCTGATCCCTTAACACGGTGATTCCTAAACTGTGCGCCGCGGCTTCCTTACAGGGAATATGGTAAAAGCTTCAATTTGAGAGAATGTGTAGTGATTTACAGGCTCATTTATCACATTAATTATTAAATATCGATTTAATGTTAATAAACTAAAAAAAATATTGAAGATACACGAGTTTTATTTTTTTTATCTCTTACGAATAGTCATACTTAGGGTAGGGCGCCATGGAAAAATTTCAATTTAAAAAGGGCACCGCGACTAGGAAAAGTTTGGGAACCACTACCTTAACACATTGAATTCTCTCTGCCTGGCTGCCTATGAACCTTCGATTCTGGTAGGTTTTCGAGACCACCAATATATCAAACTATGAGGTGTATTCACTGTTTTCGTTTAAGGTGATATGGGGACTGTTACTTGAATTTTCCCACAATTATATGAGTAGAGCTGGCGTTTCCATTGAATTTCTCACAGCCTTGCTTTCTCAAAAGGTATTCTCATCCAGGATGAGCTGCAATTTCGACCTGGCCTTGGTCTTAGCAATAACCCCAGCAGTCGGAACTGCAGTCCACCCTGGATGCGAATACCTTTTAGGATTCAATGTAAATGTAAAGTCTACTCACATAATTGTGGGAAAATTTCACAACCAGTCCCCTTATCACCTTGAACGAAGTAGGGTGAATACACCACATATTATAATTTATTGGTGGTTCGAAAACCAGCTTATAAAAAAACGAAAAATAGGTAACGTAGCCGATTGCTATAGCAACTACAACTTTGCGTCATCAATAATCCCACCACAGAATGTGATATGGAAAAATGCCTGGCCTTCCCTGAAATTCACATCTGCCCTGTCACCCAAGGGCACTTGTGGCAATGCGGCGTAGTAGTTAACGTTTCGAGATTGTACACTGTACTGCCATGGCTCGAGTCCCTTTGTGGATGTGGATCAGACCTATGCAAATTCGATGCTGTAGCCCACCCAAGATTAGAACATCTCCTTTGAGAAATTCAATGGAAATACCAGCTCCACTCATATAATTGTGGGAAAATTCGATTATCAGTCCCTTTGTCACCTTAAACAAAATAGGGTGACTACACCTCATATGACGATTCTTATGTCTAGGCATCTTCTTCTCTTTACACTAAAGACTCATCATTCAGGTCTCCTCTTTCTCATCTTCACCTCATTCTCTCTTATTCTCTGCGGCCCTGCGTCTGGCTTGATTAGGAACCGCTTGTGTTAGAATTGGCCACCTTCCCTCTCCACCCCTAATTAAGTAAAACACTCTTTTTTCTATTAAGTTGTCTCTCTCATCCAATACTAAGGCTCTACTAAGTTGTGCATATGTATTTTAGTTGATACTCTCTTCTGTCAGGCAGAGCATCCACCACTTTCCACTAACAGACACACACACACATTTGACACACACAGAAATTGGGCCTCAATTTCGTTTTTCACACCCACGTAAATTTTGAATAAATCTAGTTCTTTAGCCTAACACCCCTAATAGCGTACATTTTGAAGGTGTATGGCCTTTAATTTCATATCCCGCAGGTGGACTTTTCAGGCCGATTCTAGGTTTGACTCTTCTCATCACATTCGCCTTTTCTTGATTTCCATTTGTCCCTCGCAATCCTCTTTTTGACGATGTATCCTCCTGTTGTTTAGGTTTCTTCAAGAGATGATGCCAACGGCCTCTCTTATCTTCTGTTTACTAGCGTTTTCGCCACATGAGGAAAGTCTTTACTTTGCACTCCATTCAATTGTGTAGCCGGCCAGGGAAGTGTGTTCAGCTATCTTCGATCTTTGCGTCTCCATTTTTCTGCATAGTCGCTGGTGCTGTTTGATTCTTAGGCCAGTCTCTCCGTTCTAATTTTGTTTACAGTCCCTGCAGTTTATTCTGTAATCTTTAGTCCCTTCCTTCAGGAGTGTACGAATCTTCCATTTTAATAGTTACGGCCTCA